GGAACGGGTTCGAGGAATCCGCCCGACATGGCAGGTATGTGTGCGGGTCAACTTAATAACCAGCAGGAACTCGTCTCGCGCTAATTAGCCGGTGTCCGCGGGCGTGATTAAAGCACGCTCGTTTGCATCCGCAAACAGAGCGGGCGGTTCCCCGATAAAACAATCGATCATCCGCGGGACGGTCGCATTAACGATCGACGGATCCGTGGACTTCACGCTGGGAACCTGGTGCTGTTCGTTGGACAATTGAGACTGTCGTTTGGGTCTTTGCTAGCCTTCGTGTTAGGTCTTGCAGTGTTAATGCTGCGTATTGTTCAGTTGGTTTCGTTGAGGATGAAGTTCCTTGGGGATGAAGTTGAACGAAATGTTGTAGGATGATTCTTTGATGGTCAAGTTTCGGCTGTTCTTTAGGGTATGCTTTTCACTGTGCTCTGGATTGGTCTTTGGACTGTTTGTTAGACTGGTCTTTAAAGCGTTCTGTAGGTTGTTCTTTAGACGGTTGTCTAAATCACTTTAGATCATTTTCTTGACTATTCTATGGACCATTCCTTGAACTATTGTTTAGATTACTCTGGACTGTTCTCTACACTGTTCTGTGGAGTATTCTTTAGATCATTTTCCTGACTATCCTCTAACTGATTGTCTAGACCATCCTCTAGACTATCCTCTGAACTATTCTCTATTTATTCTGTAGAGTATTCTTTATATCATTTTCCTGCCTATCCTCTAAACGATAGTCTACATAGTCCCCTAGACCATCCCCTAATCTATCCTCTAGACTATCCCCTACATTACATCCTCAACTATCATCTACCATTCTAGACTACCTAACCAATTCATTAGACTCTCTTCTAAACCGTCTACAAAGGATGTATCTCCCTGTTACTTCCTTTTCGGTCTATACTCCACGATATTGAAAGTCAAAGTAAATATTCGATGATCCAACACGACACACAACACACCGTTGTCACGCGAGAATGATCCGACTCGCGAGCGGTCGCCGCGCTTTTCGAAGTCCGTTTCCGTCGGTAACGACTGACCATTCGCGGGGGAATGCGGAGAAACGAGTCTCGATCAATTTGAGTGAATCGCCCAGGCTATATGCAGTTCAACAAATCGATTAGGCGTGTGACTAGTTTAATTCTCCTCATTTTCGTTGATTCAACGGTGATAGCAGTTATTCGCAGAACAATTTCATTTCAGTCGTAGTTCTTCAGCATTAAAGAACCTGCGACGCTGCTTGTTTAAAAGTCATCAGGATAGTCTCAAATTAAAGAATTCTAATTATTCCATGAATAATTCGTCACAATTCTCGTCATATCGCTGAAACCTCGCGCGACCATTACTTCTGCGCAATGACAACCATTAAAAGTATTCAACAAAACTTGACAAACACTAACACTCGTCTTGTTCCTCAATTGTTCTATCAATCACACCTCACAGTAGCCAATTAAACTTGAATTCTCCCTAAAACTATACTTCCAAAGTCACACTCAATTTCAGCATAAACTTCAGTTCCAAATTAACACTTTACAACACATTATCAACATATCCTCATCGCCTAGCTTCATTCCTTCAACAATAGAACATTCACATTCACTTACTCCCCTTAAATTTCAAAGTCACCACATTCTATTGCAAGTATAAACAGATTAGACTCAACGAAAGACTTAAGTATCGAATCAGATAAACAAAAGATTGAATCCACTTGGTACCAAACAACAGGAAACATCGTTGGTAACACATAAAGTCATCGATTCTCGACAAATCCACATGTCTCGTTCCTTAATCCTTCCAGATTTCACTTTTCGTTCAGTCGAAACGAGATGTAGGCCCATCGAGCCCTTTTTGTTGGGATTCCTCGAAATAATTGTCGCTGCACCGTGCCCGGTGGCTGTGTGCACGGTGTCAATCTTCATTGACCCACTTCAGCGGGAAACTTGGAGATACAACCGAGTCAGAACCGGATATTCGGTCCAAAAAGGCCGCTGCCTACAGCTCGGATCCTATCTCAACCTAACGCGGCCTAATCTCCTTTGAATCCGACCTCTCTGTTACCTAATGCTGACGTGATCCCCTCAAACCGCTACAAGGATTACGGGCCACGCGAAAAACAAACAACAGAAACAGCCGATCGTTATCGTTAATGAAAAAACTCATTCATTTTTCAAGAACGCTGGGAAATTCGTGTTTTATCTGGCATCGATCCTCCACCGTTGTTCCAATTAGCGTTCGCGATGATTTTCTCCATCGCGATATTTTTTTATCAACACTAAAACCACCAAGCAATACGACTGAGCTATTTTTGTACAAATTGATAAAGCAGATTTCTTGAGATTAGAATTTGCTTTGAGATTCGTCACGAGAGAAGCTTTATCGTTTTAACAATGGCGAAATCGGTGGATGTAATGGAAATATAATATAAATCTTGGATATAATCAAGAGATGATAATCGAAATCTTGAAATCGGCCATTTTGAGGCCGGTAGTTCTAGTGTTAGATCCAACGAGCCTTCTGAATTGGGAAATCGAAAGCAGAAAGAGCTACAGCGCTTGCAAGTGTAACGTGTTACAGTTTTAGACGATAATATCCGTGGCAATATTAGTTTCGTCGAATGGCAGTGTTAAAGATAAATATTCTGCGGGGTTCCGATGCGATTTTCCAGTGAAACTAATTACTGTTTCACGTTCGGCCGATAATTCAAGCACAAAGTTTACTCTTGCCGACACGCGTCCGCGCTAAATCGATTCGTCCCGTTAATTCGAGCAATTATTCGTCGTTTCTAATTGCGGATCGTTTATTCCGAACAAAAACTGCTCGATCGCGGCGCCTGTTTGGAAACGGTTTACTACGGTCCCCGGCACGTGAATAAATATTTAATGAACCGTGAAAAAGAGAAAACAATGAGCGCCCCACCTGCGGGCCGTAAAAACACCGGCCATAACCGAGCACTCACCCCCTCGTGGACGGGAGTCATTTAAATAAAATGTTTTAAAAATGATTATTGACATCGAGCGCTAACTACTCCAGACAGCAATTATCTTTGCATATTTTCTCGTCACTTCGCCGAGGGGAACAAGGTTCTTTCATTGTTGCTCGCGGTCGAACCATCCGTCACGTTGCTTTTTCACCGGACAAACCTTTCTTTCGCAATAATGCTACAGTCATTCAGCGAGAAACGCGTCTGCACGTGAACAATGATGCTCCTTTTATTCCTCGTTTCCAAGGGATTCCACGTACCAGCTCCATTTCGCCGAATAATACGTATAATCATCGAACGCAACACTGAAACACGCGCGTTTACTCGACGTTCCGCGGCGATCGTTAATCAATCAAGAAAAAACTGATTTAAAGTTATATATTTAAGTCTCGCTGTGTGCAAATACGGGTCTCGATGGACCCCGCGCGTAAACGTATAATTCAGAGACACGATTCGCGGGGAGCAACGCGTCGAGTGTGCGTCAGTCGCCAATTACCGTGTCAGTCACTCGCAACTGCCCTTTCTATCCATATCATCCTGCGACTAATGCACGGAACACGTGCATTTTTCTCGCGCATCCGCAGCTGCACGAAGCACTCGCGTCGCATGGGACTTTCGTCTGAAACTCGCAATCAACGGATTACAAAGGGAAAAACTGATTGAAAGTAATTGAAACGCCTTTCGTGCTCGGGCGAGTTGTTTATTGAATTCATTATCGGAGGAAACTGTTCGAACGTTCAGCTTCCAGGACGCGTATCTCGGTTTAGAAATGTTTCCGTCGGCTTTTCTGCATCTGCTCGAGTTCCTCTGACCTAGGAAGACGACTCCGAAACCGATCTCCCATAAACGATCGTCGGTTTTCGTCGTTCTCGCGTTCGAGCTCCAAATGAGCTGGACGCGGCGCGCCGATGAAGACCTCGGGAATTAGAGAAGTTATAAACCCATGGCCCCCCGTCGTTATGCGATCGGAACATCGCTACGATTCCCATAAAACGATGACGGTGCCTATAGAGCCAACCCTCGTGAGTTTTATTACGCGTTTGTCAGCCTGTCCCACAATAAACGTCACGATTTTCCGGCGACGTCTCACTTCCGACCATTTTCGAGCCGTCTGATCGGTTCGCGGGGCTTTCCGAAATTTACATCTACGAAACAATCTTGGGAACTTATCAATATTTAGAACATCTGCAACGAATGGAACATTTCCTCCAATTATTTTGGCTTCAGATTCTCTGTAATGACCGAACTATTTACGTCTATATCTTCTCATCGCTTCATCTATCTCAACCATCCAATTCAACCCTTAACTCTTAACGAACCAGAAGTATTTCAAGCTTACCAAAAACTGCCGTAACTCAGACAACAAGCGGAAACAAATTCGCAGAAGTGACCTAGCACAACACTTAACGACCCAGCAAATAAAAGTCCCACGCCACTATACATAGCATTGCTCCGTTAACCCTTTCGGTTAAGAGTCGACTTAGTCACTTGGTTCTATATAGTGAAATAACAAAGTTGAGATTCGGTAGTAACGTTCATACAATGCACCTACAAACGAAACAATGAAACAGAATAATTCCACCACTGTATATCACGTACAGTTGCGAAAAGAACCACTAACATCTCATTAGGAAACGATGAATACACTTGTCGATAAAAGCTTCCGATGAAAGGTTAAATTGAACCTCGAAGGAGTCTCCAAGTAGCAAAAGTTCAGGAAACAGCGAGAAACGTCCAGGTTCCAGGCACAAACGTCCACGGTCCCAAGGTCCTCTATCCCAGACAAATGTTCCGACTAAATAGCAACCGTAGTTCCAGGCCAGGGGTTGACATGAGGACGTCCACGGTTTAAATCGAGCCCGACGTCGGCTGTCCACCCGGTTAAAGGGGAATGCGATGAGAAAATGTGACGTACGGCGGTGCTCCGTGCAAAGGAACCGCGATGAGGGCCTGAACGGACGTGTACCAGACGCTAGCTGTCTGTCTGCGAGGACCAAGGTGACGCAGGGAGGCGCGAAAGATGCCCCGACCGTCGAGGGACACTTACGGCGACCAGAAACCGCCCTATTCCTACATCTCGTTGACCGCAATGGCGATCTGGTCGTCCAGGGACAAGATGCTGCCCCTAGCCGAGATCTACAAGTTCATCGCGGACCGGTTCCCCTATTACCGCAAGGACACACGCAGATGGCAGAACTCGTTGAGGCACAATCTGTCTTTTAACGACTGTTTCATCAAGGTTCGTAATCTATTTTCAGGACTTCGCCGTTGCCTGTTAAGGGATTAGAGGTGTCCAACGGCGATTGATGTTTTCGAGTCTTATAGTAGACGAGGAGAGGGCTGGACAAATTTATTTCGATGGGTCCTCTGTTTGAACCTTTTGATGGTTCTAGGTGAACCTTCTTGCGCCAAGATGTTCCAAAGTTCAAAGCGTTTAGAAATATGATAGGAGTTTGCTGAGACCGTTTGCCATTTGATCATTGTGTATATAGATTCTATTGGATTTCTGTACGATCCTCTTTAATCCGCCGATCGGATAATTAATAATCCCAAGGAGTCATTTCCAGTTTCTCACGCGCATAATCTTTGAATCCCGCGTTAATCTATCTCAATCTGTCCAAGATTTCACGTGGAAGTCCCCGTTCCGACAGTCCCCCGGAATTCTTTTAATTACTCCTTCACCGAAGATGCTAATTTGTCTCGGCCTGTCCACGTTTTAATCACTCCTGTTCACTGAGTCCCCCGTGGTCATCAATTTCAAGCATAATTCGACGATGCTAAGCGTAAAGCCTCTTTTTGTTCGATAATCCCTGAAATCGAAGGTTACCGATGTGTTGCTACGTACTCTCTGCTTTACAAAGCGATCTTCATTTGAAAAATCAATGTTTTATGCAAATGAACTCCGTTCCGCTATCTATAACGTTGGAATTCAAACGTGAAATGTCCATTGTCGAATAAACTTGATAACAAAAATGTAACCACTGTATGTTTAGCTCTATCTTACAACTTTTGACCGAAGTATTTGTTAGTATCGCTCGTAATTCTCAGGTTATCGAGTTTCGTCCAGAAAACGGTCGTTCGGCCGCGCCGTGGGGCGAGTTAAAGATGGCGGAGGAATCCTGTCGCGTGTCGCGGCTCGTTAGAGGCGGCCGACCCTCTAACGCGGCGGTTTTCTGTCCCGAATTCGCGCGGAACTCGAGCATTCACGGCGATCATGAATCTCTCCAGGATTTACGGGCTCCCGAAGTGACGCCCGTTGATTCGGAATCGTTGGTTCGGCTCGCCTTGAACTTAAAACGGCCATTGGTCGCGCGAGTATTAGGAAACAATGGCGACGCTACAAAGAGAGGCAGCCGGCGGGTAATTCTTTTCCGCTTGGTAACCGCGCTGATCGGGCCGCAGATAAAGAAAGTGGGAACATGATTGATGGGACGCGATCCTTCTCTTTAGATTTCGGCTCATTGTTTACACGCGGCGAGGAAGTCGATTCCTCCGGTCCGGGGACAGGGAAAAATGATTCCGAGCCGACGTTACGCCGGGGAATGATTCCGGACAATCGACAATGGAGCCGCGCTCTCGCGATTGAAGAGTTCGCCGAGATACAAACGTTGAAACTGTTTATCGGAACGATGAGAAGGATCGGGTTCCTCGTGCGGCGTGAAACTTTGTTAACCCCTTGCCTCGTGATTGATTTTTTAAGTGTGATCGATGCCAGTTCGTCGGTTAATTTATTGAACCGAGAAAGAAGTTGCATGTAACAGAATAATTTTTGAATTCGAAGGAAATGTTCACCACGGGTCTAACATTGTAAGGCAAGGGGTGTCTTACAAGTATCACCATAAACTTACAGTACAATTGAAGCAGTTTTTCAGTCGATTCCCGCCGATTTACTGAAGTAACTCCAAAGTGCTCTCGTTTTTGCGTCCCCTTGAATTGCTTTTGGTTTCGTCCGTCGGTTCGCTGAAACAGAAGCGCCAAGCGATTTTACAGTCGCCGCGTGTGCATAAATATCCGCGGTAACGCGATCCTCGTTCCACTTTCAGATAACATCGTAACGTTCCCGATCAAAATACCGGCGCGTCGATACATAAAAATCAAAGGATTCGCGGTGAATAAGTAAACATCGAGTGGACAGTCGGTTTAATAAAGATATAGCAAATTACAGTGGTCGAACAGATATTTTTCGGTGAATGTTTCGAGAGGCTGTTGAAACGGATAAACATCGGGGAATTAAAATCTTGTAGCGTTTCCTTCGCGTTCCGATACGATCTCGCGCATCCCGCGAGTGTTCTGTACTCCCGGCCGTGTAGATTTTATCGAATTACGTGTCCGTTTCATTTGCCGGCGTTTAAAAGTGAAAGTGAATTAGCCACGCGTGTTCGGTCTGGTCCAAAATGGCGGCGCGGCGCGGCTCAGCGCAGCGTCTCCCGTTCGATGGAGTGTATCTGGATCGATGATGGCAGACAAGCCCCGAAAGGCGGGTTGTTGGTTTTGTGCGGACGGAGATTTCGCGATGGAAAGTCACGGGGAAAGAGGACGGCTCGGTTTCGTGATCCTTCGCCGCGGCGATCGCGTTTCTGATCGATTCGGGCCGGGGCAGGTGCGAAACAGATGGTCGGCAGCTCGAACGAGGAGCAAAAACCGATGCGGTGTCGCTGCAGCGCGCTCGGGAACTCCGGTTCTCGAAATTCAATTCTTCAACCCTCTTAATGTCTATTATCTTCGTTGCTCGTTTATCTGTCGTTTTATCGGGGATCGTTACAACACACAGATTAGTTTTTCGGCGCGATCCTAGTGATTTGTGAAGGAGGAAACTTTGTGGAGGCAGTCGAAGCAACTTTCTTGGACAAAACTGGGAGGAGGCTTTGATAGGTTTTTCAATCTTGCGTTGCATAGGTTCGATGGGATTCTGTTCGCTGGAAGATGTACTTTCCAATGATACGTTAGGGTGTCGAAGACAAGAGGATCGAAGCTTAGCTTCATCGACTGACCTTTGGAACAAGAATTCCTTCAATTGCTTTGTAATCTTCTTGTTTCTATAGATAAGTTCGATAGAGCCTCTGAGGCTTCAGTTTCCTTGATAGCAATGACTGCGGCGGAGCTAACCTTTTAGCTACCGTAGGCCATTACAGTGAATTCGCGGATAACGGCTCACTTCTTTCTCCGTCACCGACAGCTATGCAACCGTTGCCTATTCCGACATAATTGCGTGGAAAATTCCACCAGTCGCAGTTCGCAATGCTACTTTCATTACGCGCAGTCTGCGTGGAACCTCGCCACCCGGAGCTACAGCTCCTTTACAAAAGGAATCTTGCCTTAGCCAAGAGGCAAAAACCTCTAACCAGGAAGGAACAGATTCAAAATCAATCCCGAATCAAGAGGCTGAATCCAAAGGACCTTCCCATCCAAATACAATCCTAATCAGGAACACCTTAAAAATCAATCACCAGCCAAGAGGTTCAATCCACTCAAAGGATCTTTCCACCAAAATACAACAATTACCACGCATCTCCAAGCATCCTCACCTAAGTTAGAAGATTGAAATCCTCTAATCAGGAACATTTTAAAAATCAATCATCAAGAGGTTGAATCCAAAGGACCTTCCCACCCAAAGCAACCATCACCAACACCCTCTCACACCCTAAAAACTAGTTGGTTGCAGGTACCAAGAGGGCCGCACCGGCCTGGCAAAGGCGCGTATTGGGCGCTGCACCCGGCCGCGCTCTCGATGTTCGAGAACGGCTCGTTGTTGCGGCGCCGGAAGCGGTTCAAGCTGCACAAGCCCGACAAGGAGCTGCTGAAGTCGGAGCTGCAGGCGTTGGCATCGGCGATGCCTCCGCCACACTCGGAGTCGTCGCCGGTCCTCTCGATCAGCCCCGGCGTGCAGTCGAGCAGCCTGACCGTGGCGAACCTGCACCGGCTGCGGGACGACCTGCTGCGCTGGGAGCTGCAGGAGCGTCGGCTGACCATGACCTCCGGCGGCAACGGTTCACCAGGCTTCCCGACACCGGACCCCGGCTCCGGTTACTACCTCCTCTCGCCGGAGGTCCGACAGAGACTCGCCGGGACCGACGAGATCCTCCGCGGATACGACGCGGCGAACCTCCTGCAGACCGGCAACTGGAGCTTCCCGGGGTTCCAGGTGTCCCCGTACGTCTCCCAGCTGTCCTACTTCCAGACAGAGTTACCGGAAGGCAGGCAGCTCTGCCCGGCAGCCGGCGAGCCCGGCATCCACGAGAAGAACGAGTCGAGGCCGTTCCTCGACGTGCCCAGGAGCTCCAGCGCGGACGTCAAGATGGCCGACGGCTGCGTACCCATGGACGTCGCCGTGCCCGGCCAGACCGCCGTCCAGCCGGAGAAGAAGAAGAAGAAACCGTTCACCATTGAGAACATCATCGCTCCCGACGACGAGCAGATCAGTAGGAATATCGAGGACAAGAGGGGCCATCTTCTTGCGCCGCGGCCGCTCTACGCGGGCGGATTCCCGTTCGGCATGGCGAAGGTGCCCTACGAGACTGCGACCTGAACGGGACGGATGTCTGTGATCGAGGGACTCTTGACACGTGAGACTTGGTCGGGAGGATTCGGCGTCTGGAATTGTTAACCTTTTTTTTCGCTGCGTGGAGACGGTTGCGGTCGTTGGAAATGGCGGATCGCTTGGACTGAGTTTCTAGGGTGATCGGTGGGAATCGCGGTGCGAGGAGGTTGATAGAGTTAAGAGGACTTGCTGCGCTTTTAGGGGATCTAGGAATGATGATGTTTCGATGTGTAATGATTGGAGAATTAAGAATCGAGCCTAGAAATTGTGGATGTTCAGTGTTTATTTGACGAAGCTGAAGATTTTCAATGCTGCTTGTAGACGCGATTGGATTGTTCCGAGTTTTAATTAGAAAGTGGACATGGAGTTACTTTGTTCTTCTAGTAATGATGCTCTGGCGAGTGTAACGCTGGAGAAAGTGATAGGGTAAGAGGTTGAATATCGGGCACGGTAAGATTCGACTGAAAACGGGGGCGAACCCCGAAAAGTCGAGGCGCCCGGTCACCCTAGGTTAAGCGAGTCGGTCGATACGCTAGTTATCGCGTTTTTCCTGGATCCGTCGGCTTTCTTCGCGGGTCAGGGGTTATTCGAGGGTTCACCAACATCGACCGGCCGCGGGAAGAATGACATGGCTGTTTCTTCTGGCTTTTTGGCGTCGTTTGGCGGTGGAACCATCGAGCAATTAAAGTTATTCGCTTAGAATTTGGATTGTAACGTTTCTTATCGTTGTGGGAAATTTCTTATAATAGCGTCATCATGATTTCAATAGTGGTACAATGCAAAATCTTGGAAGTTTGAAGCATGGAGGTTCGAAAGTTCGAAAGTTTGAAGTTTTAAAATTGAAAGACGTTGAAGTTCGATGGTTCCATTAATCAACAGCTTTCTCGAACCCAACGAAAGGTGACGACGATCCGCCATTTTGTTCCCGACGATCCGCCGCCGAGATCAGCGGGAACGTATTTCTAATTTCCGATCATTGGAATTGATTTTCGAAGATGTTCCGAGAAATCAGAAGAAGAAAATGATGGATTACGATCTAACGACGGGAAGAACGAGAGAAGTGATAGGTAAAGGTATAAAACGATAAATTGAATATACTAATATATTTAAAGTTTAGTAACGTATTTAACGAACGGAAACATGGACATCTGTCTCGTGACATTGTATTGTGTACTCATTTTCCAGCGAGGTGTTCTGAATATTGTAAATATACACGGTGGATTCTCCGTTGTTCGAACTTGAAGCGAATCAATATCAAATTTTATCATTTTCTAACAGATCGAATCAATTCAGCACAAAAGATTCAAATTTAAAAGATGAAGAAATCAATAGAAATATCACTGAAACGTTTCCAACTATTTTCTCGAGTAACCAACACTTTCTAATTATACACTACCAAGTAAAAAGCAATATTAACCCCTTGCCACGCAATATCGCGTCAAAAGTTCTTCAAACGATGTTCGAATTCAAATTATTATAATATTTCTATTATTAATCGTTACGTTTTAACATTACAACCATCAAGTAGGTCAAACTTATCAATGATTACAAAGGTACAGATACTTCTTTAAGAACTGATTAAAGAAGCTGATTTAGTAATACCTGAACTGAAATACAAACCAATAAAAACTTAATAAATTCACGCTAGTAGCATTCATAAAGGAATGCTAACGAGACGGTTTAAGTGCTCGGCAGTTCTAGCGTTGAACTAGAACACAGATGAACGTGGAATTATTCTCTTTTCCTAATAGATTATTAACGATCGAGCAATCCGAGCGAGCGAGATTGCGAAAGCGATCGCCGGGCAAGGGGTTACAACCGAATCAAAGTCGCGATCTCGCGTTGTTTCGAGCGACGGAGGTCCCACCGTGCCGATGGAACAGCTGAAAACCCGGATAATCGGCTGCAAACGATTCCGATGCAAAAAAGATGGCCCGGAATCGGTTCCTCGAAGCGGGCGGCGCAACGATATTCGCGGTTATGTAACGCGCACGTTATGTAGGAGTACTCGGATACACTGAGAGGCGATAAGTAAAGTAAAGTATACCTGATAAACACTTAAAGATACTCAAACGAAACCGTAAGATACGTAAAGATACTTTAAACGTATTGTCTCGGGTACAGTCGGAGGCGAAACGTGCCGATCGGTCGATCGGTCTTCGATTTTCAACCGGAAATATCGTTCATTTTCGAGACTTCAAATCCTCCTGATTGCAATTAGGAATTTTGCGAAATTAGTGAATCGTTCGAGTGAGGAGAGAGGAAATTATTCTTTTGCTTAATGTTTGAGACTTTAACAAAGAATTTATAGAACTTATGAACACCGAATGTCTATGTGAAATGAGGATTTTAAACAGTGATCTATGAGGGAGGTGAATCAAAGAAAAAATGAATCGAGGAAGCTTGAGTAGGAGTTCACTCCGAAATTTGGGGTCGGATATTTCTCACTTTTCAGTTTTTCCAAAATTCTTTTGGCTCATATTGAAGCTAAAACATCATTAGTTTTTCGTTGTTAAATCTGAACTGATCCGATTCGCCTCGATCTGCCCTAATTTCTGAAATATTAAAGGGTTAATCAACACACAACGATTCACAGTAACGTTCTCCTAGCGCAATTAACGCGATTCAAACGGAAAGTCGAATTCTCAAGCAAAATTTATCGAATTTTCGACATTAGAATCTCATTGAACGTTCGAAATGACAACTCTACGTCATTCCCGATGGAAAAGAAAGGATGAAGAGGTGCGCGTGCACTTTTTTCTCCGGGTGTACCCGCGAGCGATTGTAAGCACTCGACTCGAGACATGGAAATTCACTGGATAATCGAACGCGCGAGAATCGACGAGCTCGTAACTATACTTGTAGCCCCTAATAGTCACTCTATCGTCCCCCATAGGTAATTATATAATTTATAGCTGGGCCAAGATTCGCTGAGGATCACGAGGAAGTGTACAGTGTGGGTAAAAAGTGATCGTGCCCACTTTTCGAACGAACGCACTGCACCGATTCGAGAAATAAACAGAACGGAGAATACCCTCCACGTTTGATTTATTGAAAAAAAGTAAAGGGAAAGAGGAAGAAAGCAATTTTTCGAAACCGAACGTCGACGAAAGGGTCGTTTCTATCGACCGACACTCAAAAGTATCGAATTTTCGATTCTCGTTTGGCATACGAGTGTTTCTACTCGCCTGTGAAATCGTTTCTTTTCCTTTCTCTCGTTTGGATAAGCTCACCTGCGAGATTTACGAATGATCAGCGAGCGCAATATAATTCATGTACTCGATCGTACTCACACGAAGACGCCCGTAAATGTAAACATTGCTTCGTGGTTAAATAAATTATTGTATATACCTGAAACATGTGCTGTCAATTCCAAATAAAAATTCGATTCTCCTAATGGACCTATTGGAAGTGATTGAATTTATTCCATTTCGACGGAAGTTGAATGTTAATGGACTCTCCAACAAGCTTATATTCTCGATATTTATTTAATTAAGAGCGGAACAAAACATCTGTTTTATTGTCGGAAAGACAACGACACTGAAGTAAAATTGTCAATGTTTCACATTTTTGTGATGTTATTTTACTAGCAATTTTATAATTTTATTATTTTCTATCTTCATTAGAATTATATTTCCATGATTTCCATTTCCTAAGCAATTTTTCCACAACATTCCTGACAATTCTCGAATTCCAACCCTCTAACTGTCTCGAACGTCGAAATTTCCATATAACCAGGCCGTTCCCCAAAATTCAATTGCCCTCCCTCTCCCTCGATTCGCTTCTATCGAATTTTAAGGGCAACGCGGAGAACCACGGTGTCAAGACAGTTCTGGTAATTGGTCGATCGAGTCCCGAGATAATTAACACGAGACAATTGAGAAGAATCATCGAGGGACTGGTCGAAAGGAGGAGCGAGGGAGAGGGCGAGCAGCACGGCGAGAGGAGGAAAGAGAGAGAATGAGGCCTGGGAGGGGGAGGGAAGGAAAAAAGAAATTCTTCCTTTATGGCGTTTAATGGGATTCTTCGCACTTCGGCCGGGCCTCCGACAAAGGGCCAATTTTGGTCCAGGCCGCAGGACCTCCTACCAAATTAGAAAGCCCCGAATGATTTATCGGCGAGGGATATTAAATTAGACGGAATTTCGAGCCGGAAAGTAGCGGAGCTCGTACTTTTTCGCTTAATAGCAATAATTGCCCGGCACGCCGAAACATTGGAAGCATTTTTAATACCTTATTTACGAGGCCGCGTCGTGTTCCCTGCGCAACGACGCTCGTTGCGATCGTAAACCTTCGAGGTTCGATTGTTCGACGTGTTCGATGGATTTTCGAGTTTTCCGGGTTTAAATAGTTCACGCGACGAATTTTTAGTAGATGAGTAAGATGAGATTTCTTGAAGGGAATGGGTGTCTGAGGTTTTAAGATGTTTGAATAGATAGTGAATGGAGGAATCGCTTTGCTTTATTAACCCTTTGGCGTACAATGACGAGTGAGATGAAGATTTCTAAACTAATTTAACAAGAATCAATTGAAATCTAATTGAAATTATTGAAATTATCTTCAAATGAAATTTTCACCTGAAGTAGAATGCAAAGTTTTGTTGTATTTCTTACAAATTGTCGATAGTAAAATATTATGCGAGCTTAGTAACGAAAGTAAATAGTACAAGGGGTTAATGTCTGCTTGTGGTGTTGATGCGAAGGTTTGTAGGATAGAATAGGTGATGGAATTGTGTGGGAGAATCGATGGAATGAGGATAGGGAAGTGGTGTCTGAGAATCTTCCGTTGATCTAGAAAAGATTTCAAGGCTCTAAATGAGGATATGAATGTATTCGTCTAACGTTTGATATAAATTCTAAAACTATAAAACTATAAAATCTAAAAACTATATGTTGAACTTTCTATAATGCCTTGATACGTGAAATATTGGAATAAAATAGCTTTGTTCCTCAATATACTTGCGATTTCCCTTCGAGTTAGTTTCAAGGA